CACTGTAAAGCACAAAATAAGCAACATACTTTCTAACCAACATCCAACACATAAATATGCTCTTACAAATATTTTCAAATCAGATAAATTCACTGCAATCACGCAACCAATCACATCATAACAGGGTTTCCATAACATTCAATTACTCAGGTTACCATAAATGAAACAAAAACTTGGCAGTAAATGAAACACCAACTTGGTGATAATCCAAGGGGGACCCTAAAATATAGACTAACCCAGCATGGTTTTAACTAGCAAAGCACCTCAAATTAATTTGCATTCATCATTATAGTTTGGCAATTTACAATGCAAATGCAATATTGTCATGCTTAAATGGTATCAGCACTTTGAACATGAATGCACCTTAACCGATGTTCTTGCACTTATTTTTAAGGATAATGGTGTCATCATTTTAACAGTCTCTTAGACATGCCAATGAATCCTTTGTGACATACAAGTCACAACACACCATCATTGCAGAAACATCTACAGTGCAAAGTTTGAAATCTGGAATCATCCTGGAATCATCAAAATTTTGGTGATTCCAGACTTGGTACTGTTTTGGATATTAAATCATCAGTTTAAATATAGTAAGATGACATGTAGAAATTATAAAATAAAAAATATGAAATAGTATACAAAATAATGAAGGATTTATGACCTTATGGGATCTGAAAATTACAAAAAAAAAAAAAAAAAAAAAAAAAAAAAAAAGAGTTAAAAATTTCACTGTTCAAAGTCAAGACTTCTCACTAAATTGGAAATTTAAATTTTTTCATTCTCAACAACCTCTTTGCCACTATCTTCAGTAGCAGTAGCAATATTTTCTGGATTTAGGATCACACTATGAATTTGGCTGTCCATTAGCTGACTGATGATTTTCAGGTTTCGGTTTGAGATGAATGACACAAAAAAAAGAAGGCTACAACCCAAATTATTGCTCATAAAGATTTATGTGACTAAATTGATTGTTTCTTCAACAGTATTTTACTTAGTGCTGGAGTAAAATTAATAATGGGGATTCTCAACATGTTTTATTATGGAAAAAAATATCAACAGCACATGCGTAACAGCACATAAAAAATTCTGAAAACAAAAAGAGGTTGCTAGTGATCCGAAGTTTAGGATTTTATATCGATCTGGACATTTGACATCCAGATTTCAGACTTCATACTGTATTACTTTTTAGTCTATTCACAAAAATTTAGCAGAAAGGGAGAAAAACAGGAATTCAGAAAGACTGCAATCTCTATACACATTAAAATCTTAAAATTTGAATTCAGCTACTTATAATTTCTCCATAACCACAGTTAATTTTTTTATGGAAATATCTTTAAAATCTCTTTTGCACTGCGTTTACCTATTACTATCATTTTGTGACATTCATTCCAAATTTCACAAATTTTATTATACAAATAGCTTACCAAACTTGTTATTAACAACAAAATTTTCCAACTATTTAGCAAATTAATGTCGTAATCAAAGACTGAAGACTCAATTCACATACTTAAATTCAGTTTATTTAATTCTATTCAAGCTTTTGTGGACAGAGGAAAAGCTCGCATAAAGAAATATAGTAAACAGATCTACTCTGATGGTGAAATCTCAGGTTAGTGCTTTTTTTTTTTTTTTTTTTTTGTTATGCACCTGCCACACTTTTCGATGCGAGTGAAAGAGAAGCCAAACATATGCAAAGCCCAAATGATAGTGTCATCTTGGAACAAAACCAATTATCAATTTACTTTTTCCCTACAATCTATTTCTTTCAAGTTCGTTAGTTTAAGGTGTTCATTTCTTGCATTTTACTGCGATGAGTTTGAGGATTTAGGATACACTGAGCAACGAACAAGCGACAATTACATTCTTTCAAGATAAAGGTCTCATAAAAAAGAAAGACTGTTCAAATAAGCTTTCGATGAAATTCAAACATTTGCCAAAACCGAAATAATTCTGCTATGTTTGGTCATGCAGCAACGAGAAAGGCATCTGAAAAGGAATGTGCTTTAAAAACTCACGAATTATGTTTCTTACCAATCTACGATTCATTTATTTGTAGTTCAAAGTGCTGACTTAAACCGATTCCTGTGAATGGCAGCTTCAATTAAATCACAACTGCAATCCTTTGATGTCTCTTCCCAAAACTAAGGTGGTGATACTAAGAAAATTGTAGAAATTGACAGAAGTTTGTTCAAAAAAAGGAAACTTAATGCAGGTCACACATTACTTCCACAGGGAGCTTTCAGAGATCTTCGTCAAGAAATGGGAGAACACTTCATATTAGCTATTTCAGATAACACTGCTCAGAATTAAATGGATACGACAGAGAATAATACACGAAATGAAATGACAATATTCTTGGACTGCTGTAAATGTTACAAATCATCCCAGTTGAAAGCTGCGAGATACGATCACTTCACAATGAATCATGAATCACTTATTTAATTTTATTCACCCAACCGTAAATGGCTATACCCACTCTATTGATTATTTTTAGGATAGTGCTAAATTGCAGAACAAGTGTCAAAGATGCACTCCCCTTTAATAAATTGATCAAGCAGAATTTATGCTGTGTCACACAACCCAAAAGTAAAACTGCTTTCTGCCCTACTAGTAGATATTTGTAAATTTATGTCTTCCATTTAGTATCCCCATTTATTTCAGGTTATATTTTTTTAGTCATTAAGAATGAAATAAATTATTTGTAACAATGTTACATATGAAATAATATGTTGCCATGTATAAACTATGAACTTTCATTTCTTATTTTTGGGCTTGATTTTTTAATTTGAATCAGACATGATCTGAATTAAATAATTTTACTTCAAAGATTTCAGCTGTTAAAAAAATACTTATGTATTATCTCACTGATCATGAAAGTTGGCGGAGATTTCGGTAAAGTTGCACCGTTCCTTTCTACGGGATTCATAAGCCATATGTCTATCTGCATTATTTTATGATAAAACATTCAAGAGTCTCTAAAATCCACCAAATTGCTACCGCTGTGGGCAAAATGAAGAGGTCAAATACTTATTTGACTATCTTCATTTTGCACCTCATAAAAAGGCTTTCATCGACTTTTGTTATGCTTTTGATTTAACTGAAACTTTACTTAGAAAGCTATGAGTACAAACTTCATGTAAATAACTGTTCCAATCTACTACTGTTCTTTTCCCCACTGAACAATTGGTAATTCCCTTGACCAGCTATAAATGCACCAGACTGCAGTCACAAATGTGATTCTGCAGCCCTCAAACCCTGTCCCTTTTCAAAAAAATAGTCTCTTGTCACAATTTTTCATGTTACACTGCCCTTATTTATTCATGGTTATATCAAATGAACCCAAAAATATTATGACGGTGCTGTGAGATCATATTTATCCACCCACAACTGGCACTAGGTCTTGGTACTTGGTGACAGTTTCACAGCCAACAAAATAGTACATAACTATCAAAAAAGTAAATATTTGAAATTTACTATGCTTAAAAAATAGGGGGTGGGAAGTCTAGATTTGGGGAGATTTTTAAATAAAATCCAATAGGTTTTACATGCAAATATATTTTGAGTTTTTATATAAAATCTGCGCCAATCCAAGATTTTTTCGTTTAATTTAGCAAACTAATAAATAACTGGTTATTTTATAAACTGACAGAAACATGACAGGTAAACGTGCAAAAAAGAAATTACACTAATATATAGTGCTCTGTAATTTACTCAGCTTATGAACATGACTTATGCAAAATACAAATAATAAATAAGAATTTTACAATGTAAATGATACATTTTTAAAATATAAAACATATTTATCATAAATTTCATAAAGAAAACTATTTAAACATACATTTTTGTAGAAAATATGTATGGTAACGTTTCCCCTCCTCTTTTTAAAAAAAAATTTGGTACACTAAACTACTTGAATACATGATTTTTTATAAAAAATACATATGGTAAAATGTTTCCTTCGTTTTCAATTTTTTTTCAGTCTATGCTGCTCTTCTTTTGTAACGTCTTTTCATAATTAAGTGTAAATATAATACTAGTGGCCAAAATTCATCATAAAGAAAAAAGTTCTTTATTAAAATGTGTGCCTCCTAACCTTCGTTTCCACAAAATCATTTATCAATACCTGATTTTTTCTCAGCCATCTCAGCTTCAGCGCTCAATAATGATTGGTTCGACAACCGATCTAGTGTCATAGCGTTTCTCAAGTACGTTTTCATTACTTTGAGTTTTGAAAATGATCTCTCACTCGTGGCTGTGGTTACAGGTAATGATAAATATAATATAAATAAATTGCAGGCTTCCAACTAACTGCTTGCCATGTCATAATATTTTATTTACCATTGCTAAATTAACTAAATCCTTAATGGATTTCAAATTTTAGATTTCTGTTCTTTTAGTATTTATAAATAACAGCAATTGTATTTCCAGTACATTAGTAAAGTTCTCTTTATATGTTTTCTGTATTTTTGAAACATTAATAATTTCCATATTTGTTAATGATGACAGAGTTTTATGTTCGAAAAAGGAAAACATCATTGCAATTTTTATCAATCCAGTTATTCTATATTTTAACTGAGTATTTAAAATATCGAAAGAAGCAAAAAAAAAAAAAAAAAAAAAAATTACTTTAAAAGGTATTTCGGAATTTTCAAACCTGTTATCCTTACATAAATCATTTTTTCTTTATTTTTCTTTCGTTTTCAAATTTAGTTTCTGTGCCCATTTATTTGCAATAAACTCAGCTTCTTTCAAAATATCTTCATCTTGTTTCTCACATCTTACATACTGATAGAAACATCTTTTAGATGTTGATGAGCTTCATTTAAGTTGATTTTTTTTTTTTTTAATACTTCAAATGCTACATTAGTATAAGATAAAACTTTTTCCATAAAAATTGTTAAGAATAAAAATTCAAAATATTCAATATAATATAATTTAATTTAATGCTTTCAAGATATCCAATTATCTTATTTTAAGATGATGATAACAGCCCAGCTCACCTTGTAGGATTTAGTTTTTTGGACAGTAGAGGCTCCTGAAGAAAGTAAACTCGATCTTTCAAAACTTTCTCTGAAATACATGTAAATTTTTGAAGAATTTCAAAATATTTACGTAGCTCGTTTACACCTTGCACTGCATCATTGCATATACTCACCTTAAGAAATTCTGAACTTAATCTCAAAATAGGTGAGCAATACCTTGGCACTTGTGATCACTAATAACTTGAAATCTGTCCTCTAGAGAGGAATCAAAACGAAAGCATGCAACTTTTTTTGTTTATCTTTCAGTTGATGTTTGGATGCAAGCAACATTGAATTCATCTGTTTCATGAGCTTCCAAGGGTCACCTATCTGCGTTTTAAAGATAAGTTCCATTAAAAACTTAAAAGAAAATGGACTTCATTATATGTGTGTGTATTAGAATCTATGTTTTACGTTTAAAAAGTAAATGAAGTTCAGAAGGATATTCATGAGCTCATACGCGACGTCATTCCTTGCATATCCTTATTACATCACTGGATAGCACATCTCAGAAATTCACTTTAACCCTTTAGACATAGCCTTGACTGACTGGAAGGTTAAAGATAATCTGTTTTTTACAATGAGCCACTTTCAAATTACTTATTTTTCAAATACATACAGGACATCCTCTAGTGTACAGTTGGGTTACCCTTCGATTAGCGACAAATTCTGTTAAATTTTAGTAATGAAACCTCATTTCTGGTTACCATGACAGTTTTAACTTTGTTTTATATTCCTAATTTTTTCTAAATGAAAACAGATTGATGTGTACATGGACAAGGCAGTGCACAGTTTAGTTTGTGCAATTCCCTGATTTTTTTTAAGTAAAATTAGGTCGATGTCTACATGGAGACAGAGTTTGTGCAATTCTTTGACTTCTTAATTTGGTTTTGTGTAGTGGCCATCTTGAAATTGTGCCTTCCTGGCTCCGATCTTGGCATCAAATAAGAATCATCAAAAAACAAGGGGCACCCAATTGTAAACTTTTACCCATAAAATTCATACAGATGCTCAATATTGACACATGGCTGTTCGGTAATATTCCTCAAATGCCGTTGTGTGTTGTCTACAGCAATCCCAATCTGAATACTTGAACTCACATACATAGCATACACATAATTTGCAGGAAAAAATATTCCATCTTCAGGAGTTCTTTTAATGAGCAATCAGCTACACCTAAACATATTTTTCCATTAGTGATCAAAAATCTTCACTGTCAATAAAAAGGTATTTTTAAAGGAAGTCTTACTATTTCTTTCTTTGTTTAGTGAAATAAACAACCTAAGAGAGATATTTCTTGTGTTTCGAAATAATTTACTACATTCGAAATGAGTTGCGCGCCAAAATATATTTGATCTCTGTAAGTATAAACTGGCGCTTATATCTTTCTCGAAAATAATATTTGGCGCATGCTGTCCTGGAACCGAAAACTAAAATATAAAAAAAAAGTAAAATTTCCAAGATCAAAAATTCAGATTTTAATAATCGAAAAAACTTTTCAAAAACCTTGGCTTTCGTCATTTTTTTTTCTGAAAAGAAAAAAATGTATAAGAATAAAAAAAATTACTTTTCAGATTACATTTAAAATAACTTTGGTTATACATTCTCCAAAACAATCCAATACAAGGAACTTGCTCAAAATAATGGTTACTGCTTGGCTCGCATATCGAAAGATCTACGTCGTATAATATTCTGAAGAACTCTAAAAACTACACAAATAAATTATTTAATGACTATGTAAGGTAACGTATGTTACTAGAAGATTCGCCCAACAACAATATACAATTCTTTTCATTAACGCTCACATACAAATAACAATATTAGCCAGAATTGTTACTTTCCAACACATAATTCAAACATAACCACAATTTCACTGTAAACATGTTATTCTCGCGAGTATGTCTCTTAACCGCAAGTAGGCGGAAGTGCTTTTTCAGGCGGCTCTGCACATTTAAGATAGAGAGAGTTTCAGAAACTAAATTTCAACTGAATCATGTGAATTAAAACTTTAGAAATCCAATTTATATGTTAAATATTTAAACTTATTTTCAAAGAATCTAATAAAAAAATCTTTTCATTAATTCAGAGGGAACATTATTGCTTGATGTAATGAGAGCTGGATCATAAGCTGCATGCTGTCATTTACACGAATGCTGGGGCCTGAGAAAGTGGAGTAACCAAAACTCTTGAGCCCCTATGTAAGGCTATATGTATACTATAGGTATCTCTATAGTAGCTCTATGGGGCGAATTCAAGTGCAACGCTCTGATAAATTGCAAATGTTAGCTCGCAAGAGGCGTTCCTGCTATCGTCTGCTAAAATCGAATTCAAGTGCAACGCTTTACCGCTCTGGTAACTGATGACGTCAAAATTGCAATGGGGAGCTGGTTTGCTCTCGTGCCAGGAGAGCTTGTCCGATAAACTACATCAATATCCAATGAGACTGCGTGTCGATGTAAACAAAAAAACATCAGTTCCCATGATTTCTCTGAGCTTATGGTCAAGTGTTTACTGCGTTGTAGTGTGGTGTAACGAATTGTTCCAGTCCTGAAAACGAAAGAAATATATTTCTTTTAATGTGTACAACATGTATTTAATGTGTACAACTTTATTTACTTTATCCTATAGAAAATTCCCTCGAAAGTAAACTACAGCAACAGGTGTGTGTAAAATATATTTTACTTTTCATACAAAAATCCTTGCTTTTTTCAAATATAAACCAATTTTTTTCCCATTTTCAAATTACAGCATTTGGTTTTAATTCTTCTAATAGTAAGTTTAATTTAAAATTCAAATTTGTGTTATATTTTTATTGTTTAATGCAGATGCATGATTCTTCAGTGACAGTAGGCATGTTTACCATATGAAAATTAACTAGTTCTTGAATTATATAGTAATTAATAAGCCCATCTATCTACAAGCAGATAAGCCTGCTGAACACCGCTATCCCAGTCTCTCTTTAAATCCAGGTGAAAAAGCTGGCTGCATGAGTGTTTTCTTCATTTTTTTCAATGTATAACATGAATACTAAGTTTTCCTTAGTCTTCCATGCAGGCATTCCTTCCCTTAGACATTCATTATGTGATGAAACAGTTAAGAGCAATTTTTAAGATTTATATTGTACATCGTTGGGAAAATATAAAAATGAAATTAAAGGTATTTCAATGTAATACAATAAATAAAAAATTATATGAAACCCTGATAATTCTAATGTGATATTAATGTAATATATACATCCAGAGTAAAGGTTAATTTATAAATTATGCTTTGTGTTCTGCTCATTATATTGTGCATTTACAGTACACTTTCTGCTTCTTAAGTGAAAGTTTGGACCCATTCTCATTTGATATCAGTTATGTTCAGATTTATTTATTTCATAAAATTTCAAAAAACAAATTTTGGTTATTAAAAGCTACAAGTGCAGAAACAAAAGCTTAATTTCTTTACTGTAACTGTGTCATGCTTCTCTGCTGATAATGAAAGTCGTCTTTTAATAAGATTTCTTTCATTGCATATATTAATTATATCTTTTACCATACTGGTTGCCATCTTTCATTGTGCATTCTTCAATATTTTTTGGTACTTAACGTATTAACACAAACACCTGGATCAGTTTGGTGGTCTTTATAAATGAAAAGAGAAAAATACTTATCAGGAGAAGTACGTTGTTTTTGCAGCTTGCTTTTAGCATAACCAAACTATCAATATTTATCTAAGTTGGCAAAATGTTATCAACATATCAAAGGAAAAAACATTTAACAAATTTTAAAATACTAATTTGAATTATTAAATAAAAATTATATGATAGTTTAAAAAAAATACATTTTCCACAAATTTTTTGTCTAATTTTTTAGCACTTGTGCCAAGTGATCTGTTTTCACTTAAAAAAAAAAAAAAATCAGAGAATTACATAAACTTGATACTGCATGCCTTGTCTATGTACCAAATTCATCTCATAGTTGTTTCCATTAGAAATTTTTGTACTAAAATGTTCTATTCCTGCAGAACTTTTAACACAGCTTCGTCTTTTGATGGTAAGCTCCACAAGCAGTATTTTAAATCTGAAATTAATCTAAAACAACTAAATCTATTCATTGTATCTAAAATCCATTGGAACTTGAAATACAACATAAGAAACACATATGAAAATGGTGACATTGCTTGAATGAAAAATTGTCATGAGCATGCTACCTGAAAAATTTTGATACATAATCGTTGTCAGAGTTTGGCACATTTTTGAAAATTTGGTAACTTTTATTAAGCTGGTTTCAATAATATGCAAATATCTTTTATTCTTATGATTGCTTCATTGTATACTTTTTCCCTTTCCCTAGAGTGCAGTACAATACCACAAGTTTTCCAGCCAAATGCGGTATGCATTTCAAGTTTCTATACATTTATATAAATTTTAAGAGAGTAAAATATTGACAAAAACTGCATTAAGTTTTCAACTCTTGTTTTGTTTTTCATTAAAAATTTGCTACTACCATTATGTATAATTCATTTTTTTTAATGTAAATGTTTTTAAGTATTTGTAGGATAAAGGCAAATTACACTTATTCATTCTTTCTTTGATATAATACATGTAGCTCTTTACCTGAAATCAATGTTTGTCAAATTAGAAGTATGCATGTTTCTCTTAAGTCAGTTATGTTTCAGGAACTATCTTTAATGAATTGTATAGAAAATTGTGGACGAGGTGTTAGGTGTACAGGAACGTGGTATATTATAAACATGTATAGTATCTCATAGTATATAAACTCATAACTTTGATTATGCAGTATGCTTTGTATATTATTTCTGAAAGCATGTATATTTCAATCAAGATTGTTGAGTAAACTTTTCTTGCTTTATGCTATCTCTGAAAGCATGTATATTTCAGTCAAGATTGTTGAGTAAATTGTGCTTATTTTATGCTTTTTTACATTAGAAAATTCCACACCTTTATCACGAGGAAATCTGCAATGGCATTTAGGAATGACAAGTTTGTATCTATTACATAAAATCTAATGTTTTCTGCATTCTTCTTTTCCTTTTCCTCCCAACAGAAAAACTTTAATGGTATAAATCAGCGGTTTTCAACCTTTTGACTGTAGTGTACCATCTAAGCAAAAACTGAAAAACATTAAGACTACCACTAATTTTACAATGATTATTTTTCAATTCCTCAATAGAAATATTAAAAACAAATAATATATATATATATATATATATTGCCATTTGCACACTCTTTGTATTAAATATGTACACATAAAAAACTATTAGATTAAAAACTGATGATTACTTAATTATCAAAATTAAATTTAATTAAATTAATTATTCACTTGATTATCAAAATTTCAGTTATAATACTTTAATATTTAATTTCTTTATGTCTGCTCTTATTTCATTTAATGGTAAATTAGGATCCACTTTTTATTTTGGATGAGTATTTATATTTCAAATTTAACATGGAAAAAATCATTTTTCACACAAACAGGTTGTGCGAAAAGACAATACAAATTTGATAGCTTTATTTGAAATGCCTTTAAATTCTTTTTTTCGGTTCAGCCAAAAGTTAACAAGTGTGTCATTTTCCAAATCTTCAAGTCAAGTCAATTTCGATCAAAGAAAGGAAATTTCTATTAACTATTCTTTTTCTTTATGAGATTTTTGAGCTTAATAGTTAAAAATATTTTGTTTCTTTGCATACCACCGGCTGAGAACCGCTGGTATAAATTAATTATAACAGATGTAAATTAATATTTCTCATACAAAAGAGTTATTTCAATTCTTTATTGCGAACATTATATACAGAGTATGTCTTTTATTAACAACAAGATTTTAAGAATTTAAAATAATAATCATTAAATCCTCTTGATCTATAAACAGTCTTAAAAATTATAAAGGGAAAAAAATTGAAAGTTAAAGAAATCAATATTATGAATTGTTCCTTTTTAGAGAAGTTTCATTGTTTAATTAATTATAAAAAGTGTTTTACATTATGATGAAATATAAAAATTAAGAATATTTGAATTTGAATGAATATTTTAAAATTTTCCCTCAGATAGAAGCTCAACTATTCGAAGCAGGAGACCGAAGAGAGAAAAAGGAAGAGAGATGATATTACAGCTGCAGAAAAGGAAATAATTGAAACGCAGAAGAATATATTAATGTACTGTGTGAAATATGTGACTTGTATAAGCAATCAGTTGCAAATCAGTCTGCTGTCATAGAAAATCAAAATATAATTATTAATTTATTAAAAAAATAAATCATGCATTTCAAATATTACAGTGTTTTCATTCTTGTATGTATTTCTGCAGTGTGGGATTCATATTTTAATTGTAAAAATTTACTACTTTCTTAATTTTATAAAAATTTTGTGATTATAAAAATTATTTAAAAGAAATTCACAGATCCATTATATGACATAAACATTATAATAATTCTAATACCACTATTATAAGTCTCGTGAAAATATTTATGCATTTTACACAGCAATTATCTTTTTCCTGGAGGAAAATGGGAATAAGACCTGTAAGAATCTTTAGTCAATGTATTACAAATTTTAATTTTCAGATATAACACGAAATGAATTAAATTGTTTTTCAATTATGTTAATAAGTTATATGAATGAGATGTGGTATTAAAAATTTCATTTCTTTTTATCATTGAAGAAATAACATTCGATATCCTACAGCTCCATAACAATGGCAGATAAAATTGACATTCTAATTTCGAAGTTCTAAAAATACAGAGATGACAACTATTAAAGTATGGCTAATGTCTAGTTTACAATAACAATGTTGAGTCGCGTACTAAAAATTAAGTGAATCAAACTGTATTTATTTTCCCCCTTCTCTTTTTTTTGGCTGAAAAAAACAATTTATTATACACTCATGATTTTACTTAAATGTATTTCTTTTAATGGCAAACCCACTGAGGTAAGTATGCAGTAAGTTATTATAGTGAATGCGTAATGATGATATAAATCTAAATTCAGCAAACAATCTTTCCCTTACTTTAATGTTTTAAAATCTAGAATTAAAAGAAAAATGTATGTTCTTTAAATAATACAAGAGGATATGGAGGCATAAATCATAGGCTGTTTATTCTTTACATATTATGCTAATCAGGAATTGGAGCAAAACCCTGCTTAATCGAAGAATACGCTCACAGGAATGGTGGAGGAAAATTGAACTGTCCAATATTTGTTTTGCCCACCCCCAAGAAGACATAAACAGTATAGAGTGAAATAATTGTTTTTAGGAAATACATTTAAATATCTTTGACAGAATATGTCAGTTTTAATTTATACTATAATAAATAAGCATGAAGTTCTTATGCTATTAAATGTGTATTGTCACATGGAAATTTTCTATCTTGTCCCACGGAAGGGGACGAAAGGGAAACATTTGACTTTTTGGAAGAAACTGAAACTGAATTTCGGTGCAGTAAATCTTATTGCTAAGTTTAAGATAAATTAAGTGCAATGCTAATTTATAGTGACTTACTATTGTAAATCATGACTGGCATACCAACACTAAAATATATATATATCGAGCCTATTAAGTTATTTCTGGTAGTCAAGAGTTTTTAAACATAAATGATGGAAACAAGAAATTCAGAGGGAAGAACAATAATGATAAAGGTTGTCAGTATGCATTTGAAACCAGGACTAATAAAATTATTTAGGATTATTATTATCAATTAAAATCATTTAGGGTTGTGCATTTAGTTACAGGTTTAAATATAAACCATGGCTTGTGGGTCCCCAAGAATATATTATGAAAGTAATTTTTTTCATAATATATTCTTTATTATCCATGAAGGGGGTTTCACCTTTGCCAGAGGTTCATTGTTGCCCACTTTGGGTTTTTATTATCGAGTTTCAAAATTTAAAGATAATTCATTGTGCAATGCAATTTCAACATGCACTGACTGAAAACTTTCTGAAGGTACCAACTCATCATCTTCAAACACATCAATCTCAGGATTTTCAACACAATACCTTAAGCATATATTATGTAAAATGGCCACCAGATATGACCATTTTACATATTTTGCTTTGTGAATACAATAGTGTTCCACCAGTATCGTGCAGTACCCTAAATCTTGATTTGATCTCTATAGCTGCACGAACTTTTCTGTGCTTCTCATTATAGAGATATTCCCGTGATAAAATGGGAATATAATCCACTATCTCCCAAAGATATGCACGATGCGACAAAATACTATCTAGATTTTGTTTCAGTCCACTCCATATAAATGCATCATGAGTATTGCCTGGCCATTGTCCTATAGCATAGAGAACCCTCAGACCAGCATTCCATACCTAGAAAAACATAAATCCTAAGTCAAAAGAAAGTTTCATCTGAAATTTTAATACACAGATTTTTAACATTAAATATAGTTGATATATTAATAAATCAGTCTTTTTAAGGAGTTTTTTAACATTTTTAACAAAAATATGTCACTGTTTTTTCATTATTAAAAAATATGCAATAAAACGTTTTAAAACACACACACACACACACACACAAAAAAAAAAAAAAAAAAAAAAAGCTATTTTTTATTAAATTGTAGTAATTATAGTAAATAGGTGATTCTAAAATTTATTTAATATTTTTTGTATTATTTAATATCTATACTTCACTATAATTATAGTATAGATAGCTTTTTGTTATTATTATTTGAATAATTGAATAATAATGAAACATTCTTGCAGTAATTTGAAATGACTATAATATTATACTTATTATCATATATTTCTTACCTTTTCACCATTAATGGAAAATTTATTTTTCCGGTTAATGAAGACAAAACAAAAATTAATATCACCACACTCGCAACATCTGCGGTTTCATTTGTATGTAACCCAAAATAATTCTTGGTAAGCTAGGTAGAATCACATTTGTGATTGCACTCCAGTTCTTTTACAGCTGGTCGAAAGAATTAACATCTACTGTATGTGGAAATAGCGAACAAAACAGTAAGAAATTGGAACAATTACCTGTGGACAACTTGTATTCATAGCATTCTAAAATGAGCTTTTGGTAAAATTTGACCGCAAATAAAACAGTAGTAATGAACGAATGTTTTTTCACGAAGTGGGTCCAATACTTTCACAGCAGGGTTATTTCATGTATTCTGCAGAGAGACTGATGTATGGTTTGTTGTAACTGCTGTATACAAATGTCTGGCTCAGAATTCCACAGCAGTAATTAGCACAACTTTCATGGTTGATGGTATAATATGGAGGTACCAAAAATTAGTATTATCACAGTAACTGCAAGATGGCTTATATTTCTAAAACTCAGTTAGTTAACACATTTCATGCAGAAAGAAAATATTATCCAGTTTCATACTTAAATCAAGGTCACTGAAATGTGGTAAAAGCAATCTGCTTAAGAAAACAGATGCCTCTGTAGAGGACTTTCTATGGAAAACTGGCTTTCATTCCCATTATACATGGGCAAAACCAATGTCATGTAATATAATAATCTATTAGTACAGTAAATACATTTAATTTCTTTGTATTTATTTATGTCATGCTGCTTTTCGTGTAATTTAGTATGATAACCTTATAAGTTTATTTAATTCTGATCATGGTCTACGGAAGTAAGGTAAGTCACCTGTTATCGAGAATATCAAGTTATTAATAGTTATGTGAAAGTCTGCAATAACTTTTCATATCATAAGAGATTTACGAATGTGTATATAACTTACATGTGTAGTTATTATGCAAGATCTATAGAAAGTATCCAAAATTACCATGACATTAATCACACTGTACGAACAGGCAAGACATTATACATTAGGAGAAAATTAACTAATATTTTGGGGGATGAAATACTATTTTACACATGGGAACTGTTTAAACAGCTGAGAAAAATTCATGCTTTTTCCCCCTACAGTTACAGAATATATATATATTGTTTCATAAGAATAAAAAGTAAAGTTAAATTTAAATAATTCTCATGCGCCATTGCTGCAAAGAATGAAATTTGAATTTAACAAATATTCTCTATTCATATAAAGTTAATTTAAATTATGAAATTTTAATTGCATACATATCAAAGATTAATTATTGCTGCAAACTAATTTACTATATCACTGAAATTCTGAGAGCATATGTAAATTAAATGCACGTATCTAAAACCATGAAAAAATATATAATATTCCAAAAAACTAATCCC